TAAACAATAAGTGTGCATTTTGAAAGAAATTTGGTAGCATACAAAGTTTTCCTTATTGGGAATTCGGGTTCGTTCAGATTATTATTTCTATTTAGATGCAGCTGAATGTCTGAATCTCAGAAAATTCATCCAAATTTCAATTCGGAACGAAACAAATCGCACATGTCTAGTACCTAACAATAATGCTGAAGCCCAGGCAGGGTTTCTTTGATAATCTTTAAAGTAAGCCCTGTGTCTCATTGGAGTACCTGGTGTCCAGGCCATGGTTGTATACTGGGATTGGACTTCTGTCCAACTCCGCACTAAGATCCACACATCGTGGGATTATACCCTACTTCACCACTCACAAGCCCAATGCCAGAACCTCTACAGGTCACTGCAGTTTTAGCACTAGACTCTTGAAAGAAAGACAGCATTGGCTTAGCTGTGGTTGGGGCCTTGGGTGTTTCTTTAAAATGGTAGCAACTACTAGAAAGCTTTAGCAGTACCACTAATTTTACAACATAACAAGTTTACTTTTGGTAAACATGAGATGACAGTCACTCATTCCAAATGTTTTTTGTCCAGCTCAGGATCTCATGTCTTGTATAAGCACAGACACCCCCAGCATTAATATTTCTCTTCGCAGTACCTGGACACATTGGTTGTTACTGTCTGCAATCAAGATTTTTCCATTAGTTGACGCAGCTACACCCTGGAGATTGGTAAATTCTCCCTTGTTTCTTCCTTTTGTACCTATAAAAGCAAGAAAATATGTTGCATATCAATCAGAAGGAGGACAGATGAAGCACATATGACATAACATGCTAATGCGAAATAAAACCTTTGTGATCTGACCTAATTTTGCAGTTTTGGTGTCTGTTTACTCAGCAATAACAATGCAATAGCTCTGAATATGAGTTCTAAAACATATGAGGCTGTCTTCTCATTTTTTTCATAAATACTATGATATTAACATAAATTTAAACTAAACTAAATGTAGGTAAATACCAATTTACTACAAGTACTGTAATTTTACTGAAAAACTTTTGTCCTGTTTATCCAAATTACAGGGACTTCAAAAATGTGTAGGTGTTGATACAAATAGTGTTGGTATATGGTCAATAAAACAGGCATATACAGTATGTACCTTTTAGATTTCAAGATTAGCTAAACGTATGTTTTTTATGTGCCCTAATCCCAGTATAACAGCTGTGCAGCACTGCCTCTATCCGGACCTTCCTGTCAGTAGGAGGGAATCTGTTTTATGTTATACTATTGCATAGTCCTATCAGCATGGCCTCTCTATTACATGTCTTATAACTTATGGGAGGCTGATGCAACCAAAGATTTGCATATTGGAAGGAAAACACGCTCATCTAAAAGTCTCATGAAGCGTAGAGAAATTAAGAAGAGATGTCCTCTTGTGTGTCCCACTGAGGCCATCAATAGATGCAGAAAACATTCTTTAGCACTAAAACTGCCATCTGAAAAACTTTAAAGATGTCAGTAAACATCAAGCATGTGCAGATGAGAGAAACTCTCTTCTTGCATTACTGAAAACTTGAATAGAAATATTACAAAATAAAATCTGCAAGCTTTTCAAGCTACTTATGGACCTTGGGTATATACTATATTTACTGCAGAGACCTAAGTTGTTGGAGAGACTTGCTTTGTTTTACTGGCGCAATTTAAAGAGTATTTCCATTTTAAAAAGGATTACAACTCAAGCTTCTGCATTCAAATGTTAATGAAGTTAATGAGAGAAACACAATCCTAAAATGTCAGTCCTAAGTCTTTCTATAAGGACAGATCACTGTGAAGGTGTTGAGAAAAAAATGGAAATCAGCCATGTTGCCTGCTGAGAAAAAAAAACCATCTTAAAAAAAGGTAAGAAATATTTTTTTGAAAAATATTTTTGGGTATGTTGTGTGAATAGGAACACACAACAAACATATAAAAAAGTGTTCTCTCAAATGTGACTGCAAAAGTGGAAATATGCTTTAAACCTATACAGTTCACTGTGTATAATCTACTATACGTTCCCAAGTTGAAAGCGTAACTTAAGGCAAACAGCTAAAATACACAGATGAAATACGTATGAAAAGGGAACAGTTTTAAGGATTTGTATTTCTGTCTATCCAGTCCTAAAATGTATACAGCCCTGTAATGAAGCACAGCCCACAACAACACCACTTATAGTTAAAGAACACAGTGAAGACCTTGCTCCACCCCCAGCCTATTGACTGGATAGTGAAAGAGCAGCAGCAGACTGATAAAGTCAGACCTCTGCTTATTCTGGTCTTTCCTCCTATCAGCATGTTGCTTGTAAACAAATGTGGATGCAGCACACCTTATTGGTTCCCAGTCCTCCCCATCCCTCTCCTAGGCTGAGTGTTGCTGTATAAAGGATTTACACCTACTACAAAGCTAATACGATGTCAAATGCAGGTACTTACATTAGTTTAAAAAAATAAATAACATTGCAATTCACATAAAATGTATTAATGGACACACAGCTGCATTAAAGTGATATTACAGACAAACATTTTTTTTTTCTAAAAATTTTATGCTATATTCTAGCTTGACAGTATTCATTTTCTCATCTTCCATTTCTTCTCCCATATACTCATCTAACATTTATTCTACTTTCACATCATATTCTGAGGAGAGGGGGGGGGGGGGGAAGTGAGTCTGTGTAGTCCTTTCCATATTAAAGGTTCTACCTGGTCCTAAAACTATCTTCCCCTCTTACCCCTTACATTATTCTTCACTCTTACCTACCTAAGTGTACTCTCCTATATGCGACATCTACTCAAAAATAATATTTTTGACAAAATGTTAAGCAATTTCAAATATTGGTTAAATCACCTACAATGGATGCTGCTCCTTGAGGTTTAAACGTTTTTGTTTCCTGCAGAATCAGCTGGCCTATGAACACACTGGCATAACAAGGCAAGCCAATCCCCTGCTCTTCACTCCCCCTTTCCATGCTCTATAACTCTGAAGAATATATTTAAAGGAAAAAACATGACCATGCGAAGCAAAAGCCTGGAAGCTGACAAACACGACTTACCAACTCGGAATATTAAGTCATCTTCTATGGGGTTCTCTTTCCTTTTGCCTGTGCTATACATACTTGCTGGCCTCTTCACAGCTTTCTGTTTGACGTGACCACTGCCTGGAGATTTCACCCTCCTTTTTACACCTTCTGTGGTAGGCGAAACATCTGCAGACTTCACTACTTTCAGCTTAAATGGACTTCCTTTAATATGTTGATCATAGAGTCTTAGCGAAAGAGTGAAATCACCCTCCTTTGGAACAGTAAATAAATACTCATAAGTGCCATTCTTATTATCTAATATTTCTCCATCTGTAACGCTCCCATCGGGTGTGCACAGCCCAGCTGAAATGTAGGCACTGCCAGTTTTACATAGTTCCCCGTCTTTGTCCTTTGTGGTAATCGTAACAGACATAGGCTGACCAACCACACTCTGCCTTAACCCTTCACCTGTGGCCACTGTCTCAGAAGCCACGGCATTTGTAGTAAGTATTGTCCCAAGGTTGTGTATGGATTTTTTGAGTCCTTCGGTTTCAACTATAAAGTCCAACTGGTCATTCTCATGAGGATGTAAGGGAAAATCTTCATCAGCCAACTCATTCAGCTTGTCGCTCATCTGTTTTTTCACTAGCAAGACCTCTGTTTCTGTCCCATGGTTGAGTGCTTGTGCTGTAAAAGTGCTACAACTTTTTATACTTTCCTGCCCTTCGATTAATGTGTCCAGTTGTGCCTGAAGGACCTGTGTGGAAATTACAGAATACACCTATTACTCAGTAAACCAGCATAACCTAAGTAACAGTTAACAGACAGAACGATTGGGTAATACAAGATAAGTAGGCTGCAATAGAATAGATCAGGCAATGTGTTTGTAAACCAGTAACCAAGGCCTGCCTCTCCTATATGTTTTGCAAGTTAAAAGTATATTGAGCAATAAGGATTAGGTAAACACTCACTTTATGTTTCAGTCCATAGTTCACTTCCAGTTCCATGAGTAAGACACTCTTCCGCACATTTAGTGTTTTCTGTAAGTCCTCAAAGGTTGAATGGATTTCATCCACGATGCTTGACTTTTGTGTAGCTAGCTGATTGATGATTTCAGACACAAGCTGAAGGGCTGAGTCTATTTCTGGTAACCTAATAAACATGTTACAATAATGTTTAAAAGAAATATATAAGGTGACAGAAAAATAAAAGGAGGACATAGATATTATGTAAAATGACAATTTGAAAACTAAAACATGTTTAAAGGAAGCCTCTCGCATCTGGACAATTTACACAGTGCACATGATGAAAATAAATACACAAGTAGAGGTTGCATGAGGTTCAGGGTTTTTTTTCTGAAAAATGTGAGCTTTGCCCCATCCCTGCCTCCTGAGCTTCCCCTTGGCCCTTCAAACAGAATATGTTATTTTGCCCATTCAAGAAAAAGTGAAGTATTTTCTTGAAAGCCAATCCTCCTATCCACTGATACATTTGCACTGTTCCTCCACCACTGTATCTGCTGGAGTCCTCAGAAATACCCTGGGTATGTGGCAGCATGTTGCCTTCTCCTCTTCCCCCCCAGGATGTTGTATTCAGGCCTGAGCAGTCAATTGACATGCCCAAACATTATGAAATGGGGGAATGGAGAAGGTCACTAACACTAACTTGACAAAGGGTATAAACATGTAAATGAATATATCCAGCAAAAGTAACAAATGTAGGTAAGAATGGAAGTGACAAAGGACTAGTTATAAGTCCAGTTAATTTGTGTACAAGAGAAGATACCAACGCGTTCATGGGCTCCAACCTTCTCCATCAGGGGTTAAAATACCAGCAATGATACAGAATAGAACTGGAAAATGTAGGGGAATGTAGGAAAATGGGGTTACATTGCCTCTCCTCCGTAACACCCGTCATTCGCAGATGACATTTTGCTGGGCTTTTAATTATTTTCCTCATTACATAACACACCGCGTCAAACTACACCTCCACCACGTCACTGTGTTGCTTGCTACTCGGTCAGCAAAAGTAACAGAAATTAGGGCAGACTAGAACACTGTCAGTGGTACATCAGCAGCTACAGGAACATTTTAATTTTAAGATTCAAGACATTGCAATAAACTGTGACCATTGTAAGCACCCTTGGCTGTGTTATGTTCCTGTATTGCTCTCCTTGGCTGTCATGGCAAATAACCATCGGTATTATTTGGTGAATTGAGCCATATGTCAAATAATCAAGCTGCAATACCCAATGTCCATTAATCAAGTCATGCTGTTACATTAGAGGACAGCCTTTCTGGCAAGATAAACATTAGATTGCAGTACCTTTTTTTGACGGCATCCAGCTGAGCCTGCAGCGCTGCCTTATGTTGTTCCACCACGTCTTTGAGTGGGACTGTGGGGTGCTCGGCATGCTCCCCACCAGTACAGTCTTGGCACATAGCTGTTTCACATGACTGGCAGTAAAATTCCATTACCTGCAGCACAACAAAGTAAAAGTATTTTTTTTTTCTAATCCACACACACAGATTTGAATCATGATTGGGATTACATAATAAATTGGGCACTCCTTTTCCAACTCATTTTTACACAGTTTCAACAACGATTCGTCCCATATTTAAAACTTTCTGATACCTTACTTTTATTATGGGGTTTTCCTTTGTAACTGGTTTTTAACATTTACAAATGCTATTCTCTGTGCATTATCCTTTAAGTGGACCTATGATGATTAAGGGTAACACCAAGTCCAGCTTCACATCTACGTGTTGCAGTATTATTGCAACACATGGTATCGCACCTCATAAGTGTGTTGCAGTGTCATTCATTTTGTATAGCACCCCAATGCACTAAAGCAACACACAGTAACGTAGTGCCATGTGTTGTGGTGGACTGCGTGGATACAAATAGTGCAGTTTTTTTTTGTCTTTGCTAGTGCGTTGGCAGTTCATTCAAAATGAATGGGCAGCACAAGGCACATTAAAAGGGTTCTTTATGGGTATTATTACTTCTCACAAAGATTAAAGTTCATAATGCCTTCCGCCTTTCACATTCCTACAAAGTTAAATTTTAAAGTCTGGTCACTGCGAAAGAGTAGAGTGCAGAAATATACAAGTTTTGTTTATGGAGTTGCTTTTAACAAAATAATCCCAAACTCTATCACTTGGTGTACATAATCTTACCTACAGCTAAGGCTCATAGCTCACAATCTGGATTATTGCTGGTAATCTTTAAACATGGTGTACAAAGGAATTAGCAATTTGTTCACAATTAAAGAAGGTCAATGGGATTTGTTAGGTTAAACTAACAAGATTTTACATACAGCAGATAGAATTAATCTCCAGCCTATTTAGTCAGCTTCTTTCTGACTGTAGGGCAGGCCATTCACATGGCAATACTTAAAGAAATCCCATTCACATAAAACAGATGCATTCATTAATAGTAAATAGTAATTCATAAAGAGGCAATATTCTTTCATCTGTAAGAGGTATGATGATCATTTTTAAGTGGAAACTAATGAGAAACTACATGACCTATTTCATGCTTCTGTATTTCCTACCACTGCTGCAGATGGACGTTAATAATAATAATAATAATAATAATAATGTTAGAGAACTGCAATTTGACAGTGGAAGTTATATGAGCATTTAGATACACACATGTACAGGTTGTCCCATTTTGCCGTCACGGCACCCTAACAGATAAGGTCTATTTAAGTTTGGAACAGATGTTACCGCTGTGACAATCTGTGTATGTCCAGTTTTTTCCTCTTGCGGAGGAAAAAAACTGAGCTAAATGGGCTCATGTTAGGTCTATGGGGAGACGGATGTAAACTGACGTTTTATTTAGCCTAGAATAGCTTTTATATAAAAAGGGAATAACCCAAAAAATTAAGCGCGTATGGGGGGGTGGGGGGGAGCAGGGGGGGAGGAAGGGTAGGATGTACTGAGTTGCACTATTTTATGCAGTTTACTCTTTGACGCTTGGGGTTATTTTGATAAGAATTAAGGATATAACAGGACACACGTAATAATAATTTATATATAGATGTATATTACTACCCCTTGACTGGTAAGGGATGTTGGTTTTGTATTACGATATAGGGCGGGAGATGCACAGTATATTAGGTTCATAGGGCAGTGATTAACCTATGATACTAAACCACTGAACCTAATTTATAGTACTTATATAAAGATACACTTTATCACATTTTGATTAGTATAAGATGCTTATTTTGTATTGTACCACAATATGAGGGGTGCACAGAATATTGGGCTCGTAAAGCAATAAATAACGATAGACACTAACTCACTGAATTGTAAAGACTTGAAAAATTAAAACTAAATATAATAGGTAGTTAAATATAAAAGCAAATTGTAATATATAACTCATACTAAAGAAGAAAATAGAAGAGTTAGCACTATACAGATACAGACTAGGCTGCGAATAGTGGGAAAAACATGGAGGTCAGAAGAGATTAAATCAATGTTATGATATGTTTTTGTCTTAATGTTGGTATTTATGAGATCATGTTAGTTTGTCTTTTATTGTTAATCGTTTGTTAGTCACGTAAAATGTCTGAAATGTAGATCTTTGTGTGAAAAAAAAATTAATAAATATATTTATAACAAACTGACGTGTCGGTTTACGTCAGATTACCCCAGATGCGCCACCCTGTTCCATTTGGTTTTCTGGACAGAGTCTGGGGTAGTGAGATGTAAATGGACTCCCATCTGTTTAGATCATAACCTAACAATGGGCTTCCGATCAGATCCGCCTGAAAAAAATTGACAGGCGGACCTAATGCCTGTCTCAAAGGGGCCTTAAATTTATTACACCATATGTTGGTAAGTTATTTCCATATTGTTGGTTTCTTACATTTCCATCATGGTTGGGACATGACAAAGGTTTTCCAGCAGCAACAGCATTCACTGTCTCCAGTATGGAGGAATCTTCAATACCATTATCCGGACTCCTCTGCAGCACATCCATCAGGTTAGTAATGAAGAAGTTGTTCTGTAGCGCAGACACACCCTTCTCGGGTAGAATTGAAGTCTGGCGACAGACTGGGCAAGAGAGGGTCAAACTGTGAGCTGGAATGTAGTTCTGCAAACACCTGTAATGTCACGAGACAAGAATGGTAACTCACTGTATGGACCTGGGCCAAAAATAGTAGTCAAATATGCTTTGAAAGATTCAGCCAAAAAAAATATACATTTGCATTTCCATGCTAAAAATATGTGAACATGGCTGTTTATTACTAAAATAAAATATTGCATGCCTCCTAAGATCTGCCTAAATCCCGAATATTCGTGGAAGTTTCACTGGCACTCCCAGCAACCACAATAAAAAGTTGTCAATATATAAATCAATGCTCAAGAAAGGGAACTAGGTCAACTCTAGGATCATCAGCACCTGTGTTGCAAGGTTTGCTTCTATTGGGGCTTCTGATCATTTACCTGCTACATGCACAGAACCATTTAGTGGTTGAAGAAGAGACGCACAGTCCATTTTTTTTTTTTTTTTTATTGATATAGGGTTTCTGGAAGAAATTGATGTTTTTACATAGAGGGCTATTCTTTGAAATGCAGTGCGATTGTGTTAAGAGGACATAAAAACAGTGGTTTCTAAAGTTCTTCAAATATTACAATTATTATATTAAAGTCACAACTTAAACAATGCCCACAGGTGGTACTTCATCTCTGCAAGAATTCTGCTGAGCCTGTGCACAGAGCTGCACATGTGCAGTTCAGTGTACAGAAACAAAACAAAAACAAAAAAAGTTTCTTCTGTCATATTAACCCTGCCTGTCAGCCTGCCTGTTACTTTACTGCCATGTTAAATAAAATGATGCTGTACAGTGCTAATATTACATGGTAAAGATACTGAAAATATAAAACAGGAAGTATCTCTAGCAGTGGGTAATAACTGGCTGTGCCATATAATTGTGATTTGTGGGTCTTCTGCTTAGCAACTGCAAATGACACATTATACAGTGTCTACAAAACACAAATATATTGGAGGAAATAGACTTTCAACTACAAGAGAGGGTGCAGTCCTAGCACTCAATATCGCAGTTACAAGTATAGTCCTGGAACATGCCCATAGCATAGTTAACAGAACAACACACTCTATGACAACTTACCTCTCACAAAAAGTGTGCAGACAGGGAAGAACTTTGGGATTTTTGTAGCGGTCGAGGCATATACTGCAGATTAGGAACTGTTTGTCGATCTGACGCACCACAGGACTAGGGATATTGGAGCCTTCACTGGCCATCCTAGACCACTGGCATGTGGGTTAAGTTCCCTTCCACCTTGCACACTGGAAAGAAAGAAAAAACACCTTCAACATAAACACATGACCAATGAGAAATAGGAGAGAAATGTATAAAGAGGACAATCTTTTACATCAAATGTTTCCTATACATTTTCATTCATTAAATAATTCAGGGTGTGCCTTCATTTGGTGCGAATAAAAAGACAACATGGAATTAAGTTAAATGCTACAGAGGAATGTGGCTACCTACAATCTATCAGCTGATGTTTTCATGTGGACCCACCAGATATTAAATTAAATGATGGAGGTATTAAAGCTGAACTCTAGGCAGATAGCTGATATAAATACACAACTTAACATTATTGAACTGAATATATTTTTACATAAATCTATCAAAACTCCTTGAATCCATATAGATATTAGCATCTTGTCATTCCCTGCACAGAATCAATCCTATGGGAGAGGAAGGGGCAGCACCAGGAGCCAATCAGGCTGTGCTGCATGCACATATGCCGACAAGTAACTGCCCCTTCCTTTTTCAATTGGCAGACTGGGGGAGGCAACACCACTGTTTTCCTCAACTCTAAAAGGTGGCCATACACTTTACAACCCTCACAAGACTCTTGCGAGGGTTGTAAAGTAATTTAAAAACTGTACGATCTGCCCATCATGGACAGGCAGATCGTACTAGCCATCATCGCAAGCCCACCCCGCTGAGGGGTGGGATTCCGGTGACGTGCGCACACCGGCCTGTTTGGCAGTTGTCGAACAAGCACCCCACTAACCCGCCGAGAATTGTACGATTCTCGGCGGGTTTTCCAGCCTGCTTGTTGGAGGGAAGACGTGCGACCATACAGTAGAAACGGTCGCACGCCTTCCATACACTTTGCGATTCTCGTACGATCGCGGGGTGTATAAATCTTAAAAGTGGCCAGGCAGAATTACAAATCCTTTGGGTGGTAACACGGTTCACATAATACATGTATATGTAAGCTTTGTTTTTAATGCTGAACTCTGGCCACATTAAAAAAAATGCTTGTTTTTGCCCTAAGTAGCATTTAAAAAGAACTTTACTTAAACTTACTTAACCTCTGCGCTCTGGGTTGGTAGGGGCCGTGGCAGTGTATTGAATTCAATGGCACCGCTTCCATGCCCCCCCCCCCACACACACACACACCAGGCTTGCTCTATTTTTTGCGTTTGCAGTGGAACGGAACGCAGAGCACCACTTTCGGTGTGAACAAGCCCTTAATGTACAATGCAGGACCAGCAGCCCCGCAATGTGAGTGAGGATACCAGGGGCCCACCCAGAACTCAATGTCAAAGGGAAGAGGAAGCCACTGGCTGCAGGTAGAACGAGCGATAAAGTTAGTAAAAGTGCTTTTTAATGGTATCCTAGGCATCCTAGGCCTAGGGGGGGGTTAGCTTTAACTGCCTGCCTGAAGTTCAGTATTAAATAATCTAAATGCCAGGATAAAAAAAAAAAAAGAAGAAATTAAACACTACATCAGTTGGGAGCATTATAAATGCAAGACAAATGTCTATATGTCAGGCCCATGCCCTGAGATTCAAGATCAAGATTCATTATTTTAACAGCTAACATAACAATGTGGAAGGCTAATTTTTTTATTGGGGAAAATCAAAACTGGTATTAGTAGACAGTGGAAAAGAATGCAATTATTCTCCTTAAAGAGCACCTACGCACAAACTATAGACATTAACACCCTGAGGTCTTAACAAGCAGCAAAAGAGCTTTAAAACAAGCCATTACTACCCTCTCTAGCTGCATGTAGTGTAAAGTAACTAATCCTCAAAGATCACAACAGAGGCTCGAAAGTCAGGTTCAGCTTACGAACACCTGGTTCACCCATGCATGCTCGGGGCACAGGTTCTTTATAGAATATACTGTATGTCAGCTACCCCATTACATAGATTTCGGACTATTCCATCAAGAGTGATCAAGGACAAAGATCGTTTCCACCTGATATACATATCCAAAAGAACAATACAAATTAACCAAGAAACTGTACATTTTTACATAGTTAGCCATGTCCATCAAGTTCAACCTATAGGAGGAGAAAAAAAAAGAAGGAAAAAAAAAGAAGGAAAAAAAAAGAAGAAGAAGAAAGAAGTTGATCCAGAGGAAGGCAAAAAACCCCCCAAAAAAAACATGACTCAATTTGCTCCAACAGGGGAAACAATTCCTTCCTGGTCCCATTGGGCAATCGGCTATTCCCTGGACCAACAATGTCTGGTGCTTATTATACGTATAAGAAGTCAATATTTAGTAATATTCTGTGCATTTAGGAATGCATCCAGATTTTTTTAAAACAGTTAACTGAGCTAGCTAGAACTAGCTCCTGGGGAGTCTATTCCACATTGTAACAGTTCTGACTGTGAAAAAGGCTTTCCCTACGCAAAGGTTAAACCTTTTTTCCTCCAGATGCAAAGAGTGCCGCCTTTTTCTTTGCAGTGACCTTAAAGTGAATACATTGGCACCGAGCTCCCTATATGGACCATTTATGTATTTATACATGGTGATCATATCCCCCCTTAATCACCTCTTCTCAGGTCAATCAATCTTTTCTCATAGCTGAGCTCCTCCATGCCTCTTATGAGTTTAGTTGCCCATCGCTGCACTTTCTCCAGTTCCACAACATACTTTTTGTGAACAGGTGCCAAAACTGAACTGCATATTCCAGATGAGGTCTTACTAATGCTTTGTACAGGGGCAGGATGATGTCTCTATCGCTGGAGTCTATACCCCTTTTAATACAAGAAAGTATTTTGCTTGCTTTAGAAACTGCTGCTTGACATTGCATGCTATTATTGAGTCTATGATCTACCAGTACACCCAGATCTTTCTCCATCATTGACTCCCCCAAACATTCTCCCCCTAGAGTGTATGAAGCATGCATGTTTTTAGTCCACAAGTGCAGAACTTTACATTTCTCAACATTAATTCTCATTTGCCAAATAGATGCCAATCACACAGAGCATTCAGATCTGCTTGTAAGTTGGAGACATCCTGCACGGAATGTATTCCACTACATAGCTTGGTGTCATCTGCAAAACACAGAAATTATACTTTGAATCCCCAACGCTATATCATTTATAAGTGGATTAAACAACCAGGGACCTAACACTAAACCTTGGGGGACACCACTAACAACCTCAGACCATTCGGAGTATGAATCATTGATCACCACTCTCTGAAAGTGGTCTTTAAGCCAGTTTTCTATCCAATTACAGATTGAATACTCTATACCAGTGGTGGCGAACCTTGACACTGCAGCTGTGCCAAAACTACAAATTCCAACATGCATCTGCCTCTGGGAGTTATGTCTGTGGCTGTCAGAGCCTTGCAATGCCTTATGGGACTTGTAGTTGCAAAACAGCTGGAGTGCCAAGGTTCACCACCACTGCTCTATACCTACTGACCTTAACTTATACATTAGCTGCATGTGGGGAACTGAGTCAAACGCTGTTGCAAAGTCCAATTGTACTATATCCACAGTCATTTGTGTAATTTATTGCTTACTTACTTACTCATAAAAAGAAAGTAGATTTGTTTGACAACTTCTGTCTTTTGTGAATCCATGTTGACTATCGCTTATGAAATTATTTTCTAGCAAAAACATGTGCATGTATCAAACTTTCAAGTATCTTCCCAACTATGGAAGTTAAAGTAAACATCCAATGTTACAAAAACCTAATTGGTTTTTGCATGTATCTACTGCTGGCAAGCAGTAGATGTATGCAAAAAAAAAAACCTTTTTCAAAGGGTTCTTACCTGTGTCTCCGTCTCGCGCTCCCGGCCAAACACTTGAAAATTTCTCGGGCGGCCGCAAAGGATTTTGGGGCGGGCGCATGCGCAGTTCAGATCTTCAGCCAGGAGATGAGGAGAGACACAAGGTAAGTCTATGGAGCAGGGTGCACCTGCACAGACTCCGTGGGCCATCAGAGTCAGCGCTGGATCGGAGACCTGCACCAGCACTGGAGGGACAGTTACAGGAAAGAAGATGATCGGATTAAGAGGCATCATTTAAGGCAAGTCCTTACATTAGCAGTGTGGGGGGGGGGGGGGGGGTTTTTTCTTCTGTTTATCC